ATTAGACTGTTGCGATGTCTGCGGATCCTGCTTGCACTTTCGCAAGAGGGGAGGGCGGGTGGAGGTTATTTTCCGCAATGATGAGGAGCCCTGGCTTCTCCTGGGAAGCAAATGTACCATTATGAACTTATTAGGTCCTTGATTAGATCTACTACTGATTAGCAACTAGACGTTGCGAGGCAAAAATATTGTTTTGGGGGGCTTTCCCCGTTTGCATTGTGCAGTTCAAAGGAAGACGGGGGGGGGGGGGAGATGGACAAAAGTCTAACCCCAGCCAGGAGGTTCTTTGTTTGGTTTCCGAAGCTGTTTGTCGCAGGGCTGGCACGCATTTCTGATTGATCCTCTCACTCGCTTCATAAACAAATAAATAAATAAAGAATTTGGATGTGCATCTAGGAGTCTGCATTAAGAAATATTGGGTAGTCTCACATAGATGGCTTCTGGGATGACCTATGGCTTTGGTTTCTTTGGTATGGATTGCATATAGGTCACCATGTATGGGGGGCAGGGGGTCCTGCAAAAAGAGAAATAGCATTATATTATTATCGCTTTGCCATGTGTGCACACAAATTGTGATTGCATGGGCAACTATGGATCTGACTTCTTTCTTAGCTTCTTATTAAAACTATAGTTTTATTGGCCGTCCCCCACCCCATTCATATCTCAGATACCTTGATGGGTATTTCCCCCCCCCCAAGGGCAAAATGATATTGAGATGGTCTGGGTTTGTTGTTGTTTAGTTGTTTAGTCGTGTCCGACTCTTCATGACCCCATGGACCAGAGCGCGCCAGGCACTCCTGTCTTCCACTGCTTCCCACAGTTTGGTCAAACTCATGCTCAAGCTATGGTTTTTCCAGTAGTGATGTATGAAAGTGAGAACTGGACCATAAAGAAGGCTGATCGCTGAAGAATTGATGCTTTTGAATTATGGTGCTGGAGGAGACTCTTGAGAGTCCCATGGACTGCAAGAAGATCAAACCTTAAGGTAATCAGCCCTGAGTGCTCACTGGAAGGACAGATCATGAAGCTGAGGCTCCAATACTTTGGCCACCTCATGAGAAGAGAAGACTCCCTGGAAAAGACCCTGATGTTGGGAAAGATGGAGGGCACAAGGAGAAGGGGACGACAGAGGACGAGATGGTTGGACAGTGTTCTCGAAGCTACCAGCATGAGTTTGACCAAACTGTGGGAGGCAGTGGAAGACAGGAGTGCCTGACATGCTCTGGTCCATGGGGTCATGAAGAATCAGACACGACTAAATGACTAAACAACAACAACTGATCCAGCAAGCTTGTCCTACATTCCTACTTCCTGCCTTGTTTTTAGGCTCCCCAAAGGATGGTGGTCTAGATGGGTCTTTGACATGACCCAGCAGCCTTTTCTTCTGTTCTTCTGTTCTGTCCTGCTTGCAAGTTTTTCACAGGCATCTGACTGGCCAACTTGAGAGCCAGCTAGATGGTTCTTTGGCCTGATCCTGCAGACAGACTGTGCTTCGGTTCTTAACCTTGTACGATTGCATGCAGTCAAATGCCTGGAAAGAGCTTCAACGCAGTGCGGGGAGGAAGGCAAATTTCACATTAGGATTTGTAAGGAAAGGCTCTGGCTGATTAAAGATCCTCCTCATTAATTGAGAACGCTCCCCCCGCCTTGTTCTTTTTGCTGTTGAATCTTGTATCCCAGCCACTTCCTCTTAGCTCTGTTTATATTTAATTCTGCATTTTTATGTCTTTTTGTTATGACCCATGTTCTGGCGTAATAAACACTGACATTTTTTAATGGCTGGGGTTAAGGAGGTATGGTCTAATTTTAATTCCTTTGAATGCTCAGTGTTTTATATATTAATGGGGATTTTATCTCCTTGGCTTCAATGGATTAGTCTCGCCGTCTGACCTGAACCCTGGGGCTGAATTAAAAATAAAAATAAAATAAAACTCTGAACTTGAATAGACCTCCATTCATACGGCAAGAGCAGGCACTACACTTTGAATGAGCTGTAGCATTAATATGTGTAGAACAGCAAGTCCAACTAATCCCATCCAGAACAGAAGTCTCTTTATTCCGGGGCTAGCTTCGGGGTTTAGGGTAGGGGAGGAGGACATCTTATTTCACCAGAGGGCCACATTCCCTTTTGATCAATGCTCCAAGGGCCACATGTCAGAGGTGGATGGGGCCAGAGGCAAATGTTGGCTGAGAAATGCATGTAAATATGACCTTACCATAGTAGACTAGGGCTGGATCTACACTGACCTATTTATCGTTATTCTACCGCCCCATTAGAATATTAGATATGTTGTTCTAAAACGTCACAGGGCATACTTGTTGTAGAACCCTCGTACCTATGGGACCGCCTCTCCTGGTATGCCCCGCAGAGGACCTTAAGGTCCATAAATAGCAACACCCTAGAGGTCCTGGGCCCTAAGGAAGTCCGATTAGCCTCAACCAGAGCCAGGGCCTTTTCAACACTGGCTCCAGCCTAGTGGAACGCTCTGTCTCATGAGACCAGGACCCTGCAGGATCTGATTTCTTTCTGCAGGGCCTGTAAGACAGAGTTGTTCCGCCTGGCCTTTGGCTTGGAATCAACTTAATCCCCTCCCCCTCTTTCCTTTTTCCTTTCTCCTTCTGTGATGGAACTCCTATTTGGGGACTTCCCTGACTTTTTTCTGGCCCACATAGCACCAGTCTGAATAGCTGTCCTTGGTGAAGACTTGACGTTTTCATCCCCCAAAAGTTTTTGATTTGAGTTTCTGTTGAAATGAGGATGCATTTTAATGTTGTATTTTAATCTTGTTTTAAAGTTGTATCTTAATCAATTTTTTTTATATCTGCTGTTAGCTGCCCTGAGCCCGGTCTTGGCTGGGGAGGGTGGGGTATAAATAACATTTATTTATTTATTTATTTATTATTATTATTATTATTATTATTATATTTTTTTATTTTTTTATCTTGGTGTTAGGGACTGGGCAGAGGAGGAATGGTGGAGACTGCCTCCCCAGCCTGACCCTTCCCGAGAAGAAGAAGACAGTTCAGAATTACAACAGGGGTTTCAAGGAGGTTGCAGCTCAGAGGAAGATGAGGGGGGAAAGTTGGGAAATAATGGGAGAGGAGGAAGAGGCAAAGCTGGAGCAGCTGGCTGACACGTTATCACTAGAAAACATTCCAGACCCTCCACCTGCCAGAACCCGGCGAGCCTTAAAAGTAGGAGAACAAAGAGCTCAAAGACAGATGGCCGTAGGGGTGGTGGTGCTCTTGACGGATGAGGAAGTGGGAGAGAAGAGGGATGGAGATTTACTCAGGACAACGCCATTATTCCAAGAGGTCACATTCCCAAGCCTCTCTCTGTGCATATTGAATAAAAAGCAGATGGTAAGGACTTTTCCTTGTCTTATCCGTTCCTGGCAACCTGCCGCGTGGCAAGGAACGTGTTGCTGTGGCAAAGAGCCAAAGGGAAAATGCTGACCTTATATCCCTTCCCGGCTCTTGCCACCAGGTGCTGTGAGTTACCAATCGGCCTCACCTTGCCTCTTCAGAACAAACTTAGGAAGGCCCCAGTCCTGCAGAGTCCTATTGGTTACAGGGCCCAGCTCCTACACGCACACCTGACAAAAGTGGTGCCTGACGTGATCTCATTTAAGGGTGACCCTATCATTTGGCAGGCTGAGGCAGGTTTCTCAGGTTACAGGTGCAGGGGGGTCATGGAGGCTGGTCCATTAGGCCCACCCACCTCATCCTGTGCTCACCTGTCTTTTTGATGACAACCAGCCCGGCAAGGTGACGCTGCCTGTCAACTTCCTATTTCTCAGCCCACGTTCACGGCATACCTTTAAAGCCCCGTGATACCACGCTGCAGGATCACATTCACCAGTGCTATACCAGCTGCACTGGCTCCCGATGGAGTACAGGGTCAGGTTCAAGGTGCTGGTTTTAACCTTTAAAGCCCTATACGGCCTAGGACCCTCGTACCTACGGGACCGCCTCACCTGGTATGTCCCACGGAGGACATTACGGTCTTCAAACAAAAACATCTTGGAGGTCCCGGGCCACAGGGAGGTTAGGCTGGCCTCAACCAGAGCCAGGGCTTTTTCGGCTGTGGCTCCGATCTGGTGGAACGCTCTGTCACAAGAGACTAGGGCCCTGTGGGACTTGACATCTTTCCGCAGGGTCTGCAAAACAGAGCTGTTCCACCAGGCCTTTGGCCAGGGCACAGTCTGACCCCCCTCCTTTGGTAATTCTTTACAGAACTCTAGCCCAATGGTTGCCATCAATTTGATTTGAATTGATTTTAGAATGAATTGATTTTAGAATGCTGTGTTACTTTTACTGTTGTTAGCCACTCTGAGCCCAGCTTTGGCTGGGGAGGGCGGGATATAAATAAAATTATTATTATTATTATTATTATTATTATTATTATTAATCTCCTGCCAGGCTGATGCATCTCTGAAAAGCTGATTTCAGTCACATATCAGTGATGCAAATGGAGCATGTTTGTAGTATTTTATGTTGTTGCTGTTGCTGCTGCTCTGTATCGTTTACTTCATTGCCCCCCACCCATTGCCCCCCCATGGCAAATCTTTGATAGGTGTTAGACACTGACGCCTGCACACCTTTGGGAATGTCTCTGCATCCGTAAGGGCTGGAAGCTGGTTTTCTTGTTCTAGGAAAAGAAAACAAAGATATCCAGGACCCTCAATCCCGTGACCGCCCTTGCCTTCCCTACCCTCAGATAATTCTGTCCTCCTCCTCCGAGAGCAACTAGGAATCGCAGCCCCGCAAAAGGCTCTTGCAAACAAGACGCGGTCTCACCCGCCTTCCTTCCAGTGTACTCTGAGGAAGAAGTAAATCTATTTTCTGTCACTCTCCTTTCCCATCACATATTTTAAGTCTATTAGAAAATTGTTGGCAATTGTGATTTGAGCCGTTTCTACATTGTTATCCTAATTAGATTGGATTATTCTTGCATTCAACCCCCTAGACCTTTTAGCTTGTAAACTGAATGCTTTTTATTAAGGTAATAATGGCCGGTCTTGTAATCGTGGCACTAAAATTAATACTTTAAGGACAGTTGATTTTTTTAAAGAGCGAAAAACTGCCTTGTATCGAAGAGCACAGGATTTATTACGAAAGACACTCATGAAGTCTTCTTCTTCTTCTTCTTCTTCTTCTTCTTCTTCTTCTTCTTCTTCTTCTTCTTCTTCTCTTTCCATTCCTGTTTTTTTCTTTCTCTGCTCTCTGTTAAAAGTTGGAGAAAATAGTTTCCCTTATTATTCTTGGTTTGCCACACAAGCTCATAACTTTTCTGGACATTCATCTTCTTGAGCTGAAATTGTCCAGGGTATTTTAAGAAAAATCAATATGCATTGGACTCTAATATTGCCTGCCATTGGGAGAGGGAGCAGACCAATTATTCAGCGCAAGGCACTGCCTTAATGAAATGCTATGCTTGAGAATATGACCGTAGCTCAGGTAGAAAGCTACAAGCTCCTCTTTCTCATGCTATTTATTCATTTATATAAAGCTAAGTTCTGGCGTAAATTGGATTAAAGCTTTGTACTGAAATGCCCCTTCAAAATCTCTCAGTCCAAGACCCATGCTGTTACAGGAGCCATATAATACTCATTCCACTCTAGTAAGAAATCATTAATTTTTTTTAGTGCAGTGGCACCCACACTTTGGAACTCCCTGCCTATTGACCTCACTGTATACCTTTCATGGGACATGGGTGGCACTGTGGGTTAAACCACAGAGCCTAGGACTTGCCGATCAGAAGGTCGTAGTTTGAATCCCCGTGACGGGGTGAGCTCCCATTGCTCGGTCCCAGCTCCTGCAAACCTATCAGTTCAAAAACACAAAGTGCAAGTAGATAAATAGGTACCGCTCCGGCGGGAAGGTAAATGGTGTTTCCGTGCACTGCTCTGGCTCGCCAGAGGCGGCTTAGTCATGCTGGCCACATGACCCGGAAGATGTATGCTGGCTCCCTCGGCCAATAAAGCGAGATGAGCACCGCAACCCCAGAGTCGGCCACAACTGGACCTAATGGTCAGGGGTCCCTTTACCTATACCTTTCATGTGCCTGCTAAGAACATTTCTGTTTGGGCAAGCCTATCCAGGCATGTAGAATATGTTTTAATCGGGGTTGTTGTTGTTTTAAGCTTATTGTCAGTTTTAATCATTAGGGTTGCCATATTTTGAAGAAGCAAATATCTGCCATATTTTTGAAGAGCAAAAAAGGACACATTTGCAGACTTCTCCTTTTAACTATGGATCTCAATATGACAACTCTCATTTTACATACGCATGAAAAAGAGGACATGTCCTGGAAAAGGAGGACATATGGCAACCTTTTACATAGTTGCTTCTAATAGCTTTTACCAATAATTTCACGGTTTTATTCTTTTTGTAAACAGCTTTCAGGTGGTTGTGGTTTTTTAATATAAAAAAAATCAAGTGGTATATAATTTTAAATAAATAAATACATTCCATCCTTGTCCATACTTTCATTGGATAAATGTTGGAGGGTATGAAGTTATTTGACCCTTGAGCCAAGGAGATAAGTAAAGATAAGTAAGACATCTGAAGGCAGCCTTGTATAGGGAAGTTTTTTAATGTTTTATTATGTTTTCATATATGTTGGAAGCCTTCCAGAGTGGCTGGGGCAGCCCAGTCAGATGGGCAGGGAAAAAATAATAAAAATATTATTGCCGTTGTTATGAAATTGGACGTAGCTATTTTCTTTGGAGAAGGGTCAGAGGGTTACAGGGAACCAGGCAGAGGGCCTTCTTGGTAGTGGCACCCACCCTGTGGAACGCCTTCCCATCAGATGTCAAGGAAATAAACAACTATCTTACTTTTAAAAGACATCTGAAGGCAGCTCTGTTTAGTCTTTTATGTTTTTAATGCTGTATTGTTTTAATATATTGCTGTATAGTTTTTAATGCTATATTGTGTTTTTAATATTCAGCTGGGAGCTGCCTAGAGTAGCTGGGGAAACATAGCTGGATGGGCGGGGTATAAACAATAATTTATTATTATTATATAGTGTGAATTAGGAATCCTTAGAGCAGAAATATACACTGTCCCATAATTATTCATAAAGACCCTGACCATTAGGTCCAGTCGTGACCGACTCTGGGGTTAGGCGCTCATCTCACTTTATTGGCCAAGGGAGCCGGCGTACAGCTTCCGGGTCATGCGGCCAGCATGACTAAGCCACTTCTGGTGAACCAGAGCGGCGCACTGAAACGCCGTTTACCTTCCCGCCGGAGCGGTACCTATTTATCTACTTGCACTTTGATGTGCTTTCGAACTGCTAGGTTAGCAGGAGCAGGGACCGAGCAATGGGAGCTCACCCCGTCGTGGGGATTCGAACCGCCGACCTTCTGATCAGCAAGTCCTAGGCTCTGTGGTTTAACCCACAGCGCCACCTGCGTCCCCAGCGCCACCCGCCCTCCCCCAAATTCTCTTTTGTCAAGTAAAGCATTTATATAGGAATCATAACCCAAATCAGACCATCGGCCCAACTAATTCAGTATTGTCTGCACTGATTTGCAGGGACAGTATATGATTTGAGGCCTACCTGCAGGACTGAACCTGGAACCGTCTGTGTCCTATCACTGAGCTGCAGCCTGGCCAGGTGGCTTCAGCTTGTGGTTGAGAGAACTGTTTCCTTCCGAAGTATTTATTTGTTTGCTCCCCTCCCCAATTCCCTTGTGAGATAAAACACATACTTTCTCCTGGGTGGAGAAGATTTCCATCCCTCTGGTTCTTTGCTCATTCTGAATCCACCCGCAGATGTTTCGCCTGGTAAAAGAAATCCCTTGTAATATGTAGTTCATCCCTTTATTCTATATTTCCAGAGAGGAGTAGATGAAACACTTCCATGGCTATAGATTAAGGATGAGGAGCCTGTGGCCCTCCAGATGTTATTGGACTACAAATCGCATCAGTCTCAGCCAACACGCCCAGCGCTCAGGGATGATGGGAGTTGTAGTCTGACAACATCTGGAAATCTGCTAGTTTCCCCTTCCTTCCACAGAAAGAAGGAAGAGCCCTGGTGAATCCAGCCAGCATCCCATTCTTACAGTGGCCAACCAGACGCCCGTGAGAAGCCAATTGCTGGGAATCACAAATGAGAATGGTGATTGGATCCTCATGGGTATTCCATCAACATCTTGGTTGGCCATTGTGAGAACAGGATGCTAGTCTAGGTAATTTTATTTTATTTTATTTTATTTTATTTTATTATTTTTACATACCCCGCCCACTCTGGGTGGCTTCCAACAAAAGATTAAAAACACAATAAAACATCAGTCATTAAAAACTTCCCTAAAGAGGGCTGCCTTCAGATGTCTTCTAAAAGTCAGATAGTTGTTTATTTCCTTGACATCTGATGGGAGGGCGTTCCACAGGGTGGGCGCCACAACCGAGAAGGCCCTTTGTCTTCATCTAAAATGGAGGTTCCGCTCTCCATAAGACCATTTGAAGTATGTACCATTTTATTTATTTACTTTTACCCCCAAAGGGATGGGCTACAAAAAAAAGCAATACTAGGATGGTCCCCTCCCATCTAAAAAGTCATGACGATGGAGGAAAAAGGAAGGGGAGGGAGGAGGGGAAAGCAAGCTCAAGCTTAAAGTTGCACCACCTCCAGGAGGCCGCCCCAACCCTCTATCATTTCACTCCAGTGGCTGGTGGTCTTCTCTTGAAGAAGAGCTCTGGATCAGTCCTCTCCCTGCTGTGGAAACCCAGCCAGATGGTCGGGGAATGAATGAATGAATGAATGAATAATAATTTTTACTATGCTTGTTTGCAGGAATGAGAGAGACAGACTTGGTGCAGGTGTCCCATATAGGGATCAAACTTGCAACCTTGACAATACAGTGGTACCTTGGGTTAAGTACTTAATTCATTCCGGAGGTCCGTTCTTAACCTGAAACTGTTCTTAACCTGAAGCACCACTTTAGCTAATGGGGCCTCATGCTGCCGCTGCGCCGCTGGAGCTCAATTCCTGTTCTTATCCTGAAGCAAAGTTCTTAACCTGAAGCACTATTTCTGGGTTAGCGGAGTCTGTAACCTGAAGCGTATGTAACCTGAAGCGTATGTAACCCGAGGTACCACTGTATCAGCACCATGCTCTAATCAACTGAGCTAGCCATGCTAATAGGTAAAAAGGTAATAGGTAAGGTGAAAGACCCCTGGAAGGTTAAGTCCAGTCAAAGGCGACTATGGGGTTGCAGCGCTCATCTTGTTTTCAGGCCAAGGGAGCCGGCGTTTGTCCACAGACAGTTTTCCAGGTCGTGTGACCAGCAGGACTAAACCTCTACTGGCGCATGGACGACCATGACGAGTGCCAGAGCGCACAGAAACACCATTTACCTTCCTGCCACAGTGGTACCTCTTTATCTACTTGCACTGGTGTGCTTTCGAACTGATAGGTTGGCAGGAGCTGGGACAAAGCAACGGGAGCTCACCCCATCACGGGTATTCGAACCACCGACCTTCTGATCAGCAAGCCCAAGAGGCTCAGTGGTTTAGACCACAGTGCCACTCGTGTCCCTAGCCAGGCTAAAAGATGACTGTTGGCTTATCTAGCTCAGTATTGTACACACTGGCCGGCAGCATCTCTCCAGGGTTTAAGCATTTTTCCTTTTTGAAGTGGCACATTTCACTTGGCCAGTATACCTGAAAGAGCATCTCCACCTCCATCGTTCTGCCCGGACACTGAGGTCCAGCGCCGAGGGCCTTCTGGTGGTTCCCTCATTGCGAGAAGCCAAGTTACAGGGAACAAGGGAGAGGGCCTTCTCGGTAGTGGCGCCTGCCCTGTGGAACGCCCTCCCACCAGATGTCAAAGAGAAAAATAACTACCAAACTTTTAGAAGACATCTAAAGGCAGCCCTGTTTAGGGAAGCTTTTAATGTTTAATAGGTTATTGTATTTTAGTTTTTTGTTGGAAGCCACCCGGAGTGGCTGGGGGGACCCAGCCAGATGGGCAGGGTATAAATAATAAATTATTATTATTATTATTATTAGCCGCTTCGGGACTCAGTCGCCATTCTTCATATGCGCCATAGTCCCGTTCTCTGAGCCAACACACATAGATGACTTTTGTTATCCGAAAGGGCTGTGCAGCCATACGAACATCTGAGAGGCTTTCCTAGCAGAGGATATAGTTAAGTCTGTTTCTTCTTCTTCGTCTTGTATTCCCCAAGCCTTTGCAAATGACAATGGAGGAG